AATTAGTGAGTATTGTTCTCATGGCAATATAGTTATTTGCATAACTTCAGTAGGAATCTGTTCTCCTTATAACAGGACACAATTGGAAACATTGGTTATCTTACCAAAGATTTGACTGGAAAGTCATATTTGAGAGAAACATACGGATTCAGATATGACAAGACAGCTTTTGAGGAATATAGATTGGCTTGAAGGAATAAAGCCACTTGGAAATTTTGGCCTGGTACCTTGTTTACAAGGATTCTAGCAAACAGGGCAAGTAAGGAAGGTCACTTATCTGGCAGGTGCCTGGAACCTCGAAATACTTTGGGGAACCTCAAGAGACGAGAGGAAGTCACCAAAATCTAAGGTATTGCAGGTGAAGCCTGATGACAAATCCTTGGCTTGGCTTTCCTAGCCTTGAGAGGCCTTTAAAGTTCAATCTGAGATTCCTTATAAAAAGTTCCAGCAAAGCAGATTTAAAAGAGCCTATATGATCAATGGCTATTCCTGCTGTACTCATGCAAATAATTGGGCCAATTTTATTGAAACTAAACAGTTTGCAAATCAGTTAGTCTTAATTTGGCAATCTTTGGTAAAAATGAGGGTGATTTTGGAGAGAAAAATTATGTTTCAGTAAAAAATATAGTACACGTTCATGGATATTATGTTCTACTTGTCTTTGAGGTTTTTATTTTGTATCTCTTAACTGACTGGATCCTGAATTCTTCTAGTCTCTCGAAATATCAGGCTACAAATCTCCAAACTTACATTTTCAATCTTTTCCCATCATTTTCATTTGGAATCATTGAGACCTGGACCTGCTGTTTTTCCTGAAGACTTGCAAACTGAGGCTGGACAACTTGATATAAACTTAAGACAGATTCATATCTCTTGCTGTGTAAGATACCTGAACACCTGATGACATCATCAGAGATATTTCAAACTGCAAAAGATGCTTTGCCTCTGACACTTAGAAAAATTATTTTATTTTATTTTTCTTATTTTTTTTTTTGAGGAAGATTAGTCCTGAGCTAACTGCTGCCAATTTTCCTCTTTTTTGCTGAGGAAGACTGGCCCTGAGGTAACATCCATGCCCATCTTCCTCTACTTTATATGTGGGGTACATACCACAGTATGGCATGCCAAGTGGTGCCATGTCTGCACCCAGGATCTGAACCAGAGAACCCCAGGCTGCCAAGAAGCAGAACATGTGAAATTAACTGCTGCACCACCAGGCTGGCCCCCTAGAGATCTTTTGGCTGGCTGCCACCTGGACTTAGAAATAATTTACTGGTTTATAATTCGCTCCCACCATTAACCTTGTTGTTCTTCTTGTCTCTCTAGAAATACTTATTATTAAATATCTGATTACTTGCTTGCACAATACAAGCTGAACTTTGGGAGCCCACCTGCATCACTGTCTTACTAAGAGACTGATTCAATGAGATAGGGCAACCTATGCCTCTCATCAACAGGATATCCCTCAAGATTGAAGATGAACAACAAAAGCGTGAATTGATAGTGGCTCAACACAAGGTTGACATAAGGGAAGCCATATTGTAGAAAAGAATCCATATTGTAACTTTGAGTGATCTCTGATTAACTAACCCAGACACGCTCTATAGATTTTGTGGACCCTCCCAGCTGCTATAAGTTGATAACTTTGTTCTTCTGTGTTCCTTAGGAATGTGGTGACCACCAGGCAGAGAGTCTGTGCTGATGGCCATCATCAGTGACAACTGAAAGATCAGAGTTTAGGCCATTACTCCAGTCTCTGATGCATGTCCAGCAAAACAAAAGGCTATCAAGAACTGAGACCAGTTGTCTGTCGCTACCTGGAGATCATATCAAGGCCCCACTGGAATTAGGCCTACTTTTCCGGGACTCTTAAAATTTGGGTTCTCTATACTGCTTATCCTGCTGGTCAGACACTTGATTATAAAATGTGCTTTTTAGATGTTTGACATGTGTAGCAAGATGCAAAATTCTAATAATACAAAAATGTCAACATGAAGCCAGAAACAAGAGAATATTTCCAAATAAGTGTTAAGCAGATTCATTCCTCTAACCCAGATCTATGCCCCAATTCAGCAAGAAGTAGCCTGATTGGTCATCCCCCCAAATCCCTCAAGGATGGGGAATGATCAAGAAATAGGGGGAATTGAAACCGACAGAGAGTTAACCATTGACGGTTATGTAGCTGGGAACTAAAGTGTTTTCTTTTTGAGTAAGATTAGCCCTGAGCTAACTGCTACAAATCCTACTCTTTTAGCTGAAGAAGACTGGCCCTGAGCTAACATCCATGCCCATCTTCGTCTACTTTATACTTGGGATGCCTGCCACAGCATGGCTGGCCAAGTGGTGCCATGTCTGCACCTGGGATCTGAACCAGAAAACCCCGGGCCACCGAAGCGGAATGTGTGCATTTAACCACTGCGCCACCAGGCTGGCCCCTAAAGTTTGTTTTCCCTTTGCAATTAGTGATTATAGCTTTTAGCTGTTTAACTCACCCATTGTTAACTGTGCTGTTTAGGCAATATGCTATCTGACTCCTACTAGGCTCCTATAGATAACATCTTCCTGGAGCCTGGGTCACCATGGTAATGGGTGTGTGAGCTGTTTTTCAGGAATTAGAACTCCTTGTCCACTTCAGGCCATTTGAGACCACCAACTCATCAACTGGGCCCATGCAGATGTCCCATAGGTGATATTTTGACATCAAGAGGCTCCACCCTCAGACCATGCTAACACCGTCACTTTGTGAACATGTGTCCTATGAAGAGTCATGAAGTCTGACTACACTTGCACAGATCATCAGTTACCTCACTTCTCCTCACCCCCAATCACCTCTCTTCACATTTCAGACCACCTTGGCCCCGACCCCATAAATATCCCTGAGTCCCTATTTTCGGGGAAGCAAATTTGAGGCTCATGCTCTTGCTTCCTCACATGGCTACCTTGTGATTAAACCCTCTCTCTGCTGCAATCTCGTCTTCTCAGTGTTTGGCTTTCTGGGCGGTGGGCGAAAATGAACCTGGGTTTGGTAACAATGTCACCCCAAACTATGTCTTTCTGGTGTAAGGATTATTTTGACCTGGTTACTTTTAGGAAACAGCAGACACAGGAGAAGCTCTGAAAACTAAGTGGAAGTTACCCTTTTATAAAATAAATTAACACGTATAAGAGAAATCTCCATCTGTAAGGGTGTCTCCCTCTCTGTATCAGGAAGAGAAAATGACCCTCAATCTCTAGAAACTAGAAACATGTCAACAAGGAAGGCAAGGACTTAAATCTGCATATCAACCTTACCCTTATTTACTGTGCTTTTCCTGGTCACCTCCCTTAACTGGCCTTTCCCCCAACATTCTCTTTTGTCTTTAGCTGGAGATGGTGTTTAAGGTGATGGCTTAGGCCATCTGGGGGAGTTACTCAGTTTTCTTGGGTACCTCCTATTTATATAGAAAGTATACATGTTATTAAATTTCTGTTTGTTTTTCTCCTGTTAATCTGTCTTTTACTGCAGGGGATGTCTCAGCTAAGAACCTTCAAGGGTAGAAGGAAAATTATTTTGCTTCCCACATGCCCCTAATACCTTCAAAAATATTTATAGAAATTAAACATAGAAATGTACAGCTGATATGTTTCCATCGTCTCTGGAAATCTACCATGTAATTAAATTGATTTCAACATATTTAATTCATGCAATAGCTTATGTAGTGAGGAAATTTAAAAAGACATGCTTTCTTTATTGATGGAATTAAGGTAAAGGCTATTTTGAATTCTAAAACTGTAAATGTTTCCAAATCAGAGTGCTCTATAGTAAGAATGTATCGTTGATGCCCAGTCGAATATGCCTTTTGCTAGTTTTCATGAGGTATTTCTCCTGAATTTAAAATTGCCAACTTATTTATCTATAACCTTTCCAAGTGAGTCTCAGCCTTTTTAAAAGATGTGCTATCCTATGAGGTTTCCTGTTTTTAAGCCCTGGTACATTAAAAATGCGAAATGAGTCCATCACTGACTATAAGAGAGACTCATACTCACGGTACACAATGCCTTAAGGTCAAAAGCCAAATGATACCATGAGAAATTTCAGAGAGAGGAGAAGCTTTTTCTACTGATCTTAAAGCTCTTGCATATGATTTTATATTTTCTAGGAGTTTTAATTAAGATGGTGTGTGCATTGCCTGTGTGAGTTACTGATATAAACTTTCTTTTATTTGATATGACAATCTTTCTTACGGTATGTCTGTAGTTGTGTGTTTACTATTTTTATGCCATCGTGACTCTATATATCCTTTATTTCATCACTCCCTTGGTGTTGCAGCTTATTTTTCAAGTTAAATAAAAACACTAGCAAAGAAACAAAGAAAGTGCTGTAATCTTCTCTCGTGCTGACAGTTCCATATATTTTGAAGTAAATAAAGATATGGAATCAGGATTAAGAAACAAGCATGCACTTCAGAGAAATGTTTCATAAATTTATTGCTTGACTGTGTAGTGTAACTGCCATAGCTTTTGATGGACAAGGACATATATCTGGAAAATGAAACAAAGATAGTGGCTCACTGTAATTCAAAGATAATAACTACTAGAAGATACAATTGTTCAGCAAATGTGAGATTATTGGTTTCCTAGGGATTTATTAATTTGATGTATTTTAATCTTCGCCTGCTGTAAAAAGAAGAATATTGTCACTCCGATGATGGGGTCTCACTCATTTTGTAAATCGTCCTGATCGTCTTTTTCATTTATATCTAAAATTCATCTGGCAGTTGGAGAAAGGCCCCTGCCGCACAGCAGTCAGTCACCTACAATGAATGTAAGACCCCACGTCCAGGCTTCAAATGTCACCACATTGCCGTCTCACTGTGAATGACTGAAATTTACTTCCCGTTGTTAGTGGCGCTGAAAATTGCCACGGGTTTCTACAGTTTATAATGGATTGTCTAAACCGAAAACATTTCCCAGATTGAATTGACCTTTTAGAAAACAGCACTTTCATCCTCAAAATGCAGGACTGTTGCAATATTTTATTTAAAAAGGTTATTTAGTTACAAAACTTGGAGAAAGGGTAAAGAATTAGAGCTGAGTATCTCTCTCCATATAATGCATTGCTGTCAAAAACTGCGACCATTGATTGCTTCACCACCCAAATGCTACCGAGAAGAGTGCACGGAAAACCACGTCTTTCCTGTATTGATAGAAAAGAGCAACATAAGGAGGGAATGCCTTTTTTCTTCTGTACTTTTAATTAGTCCGTCATTTTGTTATCAAAGAAGGAGTAGAATGTTGTCAAGTCTGTTGGACTACTCTAAACAAAATACATGTCTTAGAAAATTTATCCACAGAGCAGAGTACTTCATCATTCCTGTGTGTGTGTGTGTGTTTGAGAGAGAGAGAGATAAGGCATAATAAAAATACATATAAAGAAATATTAAGAATGTACAACAAACAATTATTTCATTAGTAGACAAATAAGTAAAAGAAAAAAGTTTCACTAACTCAAGTAATTTAAATGAATTGGACTTTATGTGGTAGTACCAATATGGTTGATGAGGCCAGAAGAAAAAAGTACTATAAATCATCCAAAATCAGAGTCCCCTTGAAAAAATATAGCCAAATTGAAAAGCTTCTCACATTCTCTCTCTTTTCTTTTCTTTTATTTCTTCCTTCTTTTATTTTTTCCAAACACTTGAATGTCGACTCTGGTGAGAGAATAAGTAAGATTTCTGGTTGAGTCAAATATCTGGGATAACAAAATTTCAAAGAAATTTGAAAGAGACTTTAAATGCACTGAATATTAAAACTAAGTTACATTACTATTAAATGCTTTTTAATATTCATAAGACTCTTAAGAACTTCTTAGTACTTTAGGACAATTTTTATAAACGTAATTACCATTGAATCATCATGGTGCTAAAGTTCCATTGCATTTCATTCGTTTCCATTTCATTCTTTCTAAAAGAAAGAAAACACTCTTCTGCTTCAGCCTTTGAATTGCATTTGTTTGATGGAGTGCCCTTCAATGTCATCAATGCCTTTGCATGACTGTTAGAACTCTGGTTGATATCTCTTTAGAGGCAGGAGTCTATCTCTCTGCTTAGTTTTATTCCAAAGCACAGAGAAAATATGGGACTTAGACAGAACTTGATAATGATGAAGTTCATGACTGGCAGTGTAATTTCAGTAAAAATTTTATAAAAGAACTTCTTAAACCTCAATATAATATTGATAGTTTATGTAGACAATAATTAATAAATAATTACTATTGTAATTGTATATACGACATAGAGCAGTATCCATAATGGTTGAGCTAATATTACATGCAATCCTTTAAAGTTTTCTGGAACTACCTTTTAAACTCATATAAAACTAGCAACTTATAAGACTGACGTAATTGCTAGAGAACTCTGATGCCACATTAGTGAGTTTCTATAAGAATACTTGTATATCTGGTCAGTGTTTTCTGTTACACTTCTAGTAACAGGAAGTCATCTTCCATACGAGAAAGTAGATTTTTAAACAGAGCTAACTTGTATAATAAGTGACATTCTTAATACCCACTTTCTGTTGAAACCGTGTATTAGGTGTTTTTATACAAGTTCTTGTCATATTCATGTTATATATTCTCAAACCACTGAGAATAAAGTCAGCGAATTTATTTTAAGATCTTTCCTGTATCCTATGTTAATTTTATTCCATTGGGGATCATCTCTTTTAATATGTCTACTTATTTATTTTTCACTTTATTTACTCATTTATGTTAAATATTTGGTAGTGTTAAAAACTGTATACTTGGAGAGACTCAGTAAAAAAATATTTATTGAAAGGGACACTTTTTACTGAAGTAAATGAGACAAAATTAAAAATTGGTAAAAAATATGATTTATAATAATTTAATATCAACATAATGAACACAGACAAATTTAACAATCCAAAAAATAAAGTTAATAAGTAAAGCAGAATATGCAAAAATAGAGAACAAAAAGTATGAAAAGTATATGTAAAGCAGAGATTCAATCCATGAATTGATATGATTTATAGAAGCATTGAATGTAAAACAGAGGTGATAAAACTGAAAAACATCTAATAACAGAGAAATTATAGAATAAAATTTACCAGATGTGACATGACTCATGAGGCTTCAAATGGAAAGGCCACACTGGGCACTGTATAGGCTGAAGGTGCCAACATACCTAGATTACAACACGACATAGATCTCTAAGCAAATCAAGAATGACGTTCATTTTTCAGAGAGAAAAAAAGTGAAAAGAATCTGATTAGCATGAAGATTCTCACATGCAACACCTGATTCCAAACAACCATGCAGCGATATCATTAAAGGTAAAAAGATTTTGAATGGAGTTTTGTATACACAGCCAAACTGGTTTCAATGTTGGAGAGTAAAAAAAATTCAACCCAGTGGCTTTCCCTAGGAGATTACTCCATGTTTCCCTACAGCCAAAGGAAAGAGGATTTAATTCAAGATTTAAAAATGTGAAATGTAAGAAATAATATTGCCCAAGTATATCATTAATAGAGTTAATTCTAGATTAATATTGATTCATAATGTAAAATAATTGATAACAATCTAGATTTAAAAGTCAAGATGCTTGCAACAAAGGCAATGGTTAAGAGAGAACAGAACCTTCTTGTCTTTTTTATGGGGAGGATAGAGACCACGACTAACAACCTGCTTTGACAGGAAATAAAGTGAAATCTTCAAATGTGTTTAGATATATAATGGTAAACATCAGAGGGATATAATAAGAAAGTATAACACAAAGTAAAAAAAAAGAAAGGAGATTTTGATAGTAATTGTTTTTTCTTAAGTATTTCTTAGAGTGTCTTTAATGAGGATTTGTTGGTGACAGTCTCTGCCAATGGTGAAGCAGTCTTTGCTTATCTGAAAATATGTACATTTCATCTACTATTTTTTTTTTTAAGTAAAGCAGCTGCAGTGTTTATTCAAGACACGATAGTCGGGGTTATCTGGTCGTGTTCCCTTCTCCCTTGAGAAGGTGCATCTTGACAAGTGATCCAGTAGAAATCTTATAAACTCTCATAAATTCATAAAAACCATTTCCGTCGTCTATTCCCCAGTCAGCCATGCCCTGAGACGACTGTCTTGGAGCGCCCTCTGGTGGCAGCGTGGAAAACCACAGTCTGAGGCCTGCCGGGAGCTTGCAGACCCACGGGGGTGTCCAGAACTGCCCATGCCACTTGGCCTTTTGTCTTGAATGACTGTCTTTTGGCAGATGGTCCAGCCCTTGGAGATGGCCCAATTGCTCCTCAAGAAGTTTCAGTTGCCGATCTGTGGATGACTCTTTTTGCTGGGAGGTTTCCAGGTCCTTCTGCCGGTCTCTTGGAAACGGAGATGGGCCTTTAGACTACGGTGGAGAATAAAATGCTTTGTCTCTTGCTGTTCAGGGTGGGGATGGCCTCCAGCTCCGGAAGGTAGAGAAGCATCTGGACCTGGGACATGAGCTCGAGGGACTAGCTGTCGGTAATGGAGGTGGGCTGGCTGCAGTTAGCAGGGAGTTTGCTCTCTTTTCTGAGCAGCCTGGGGCTGGAGACCATTGCGCCATCTTATTCACCGTCTCCTCTTCTGCCTCCCTAGGTTCAGAAGGAAGAGAAAAGTCAGCAGCTTGGCCTCTAGGAGCGACAGCAGCAAGTTCAGCAGGCAGCTCTCCTTTGCAACTGGGTCTGAAAGAGCGATGCCCTCGGGGAACTTGGGTTGGAACTCAACGATGAAGAGGGGCTCCCGCAGCTCGTGGAAGTAGAACTTCGGCATCCCTGCGATGGCGTTGATGTCCCTCTCCCTCATCATCACAGACACATCCTTGTTACTGACGTCAAAGTTTCCCGTCAGCGCCTGGGTGTTCGTGGTCACTCCGGACACGCCTTAGATGCTCACTTCCTCCACACCCGGTTGCCCAGTCTCCTCCAGGTGCTGGTGCATCATGGGCACCTTGGATCTCTCACTCTTGGTGAACGCGGCAATCCCGACTCTGAAGACCCCCGTCTGTTTCCAGGAAGGCATTCTTTTCAAGCTCAACTTTCTTCTGGTGAGCTTGAGCGAGAGTTTCACTTCAATCCCATTCACGGAGATAACAGTCCTCCGACAGTCTCTGTCCTGCAGGGCCTGGGGATCCAGCTGGATCTGGCTCGTCCCCATGACCCTGTCTGTGCTCTTGCGGTCCTTCTTGATCATCTTCGTTGTTGTAACACTTTTTGTAGCACAGTAACCTCAAGGTCTAGGAGTCTTCTAGATCGATCTCAAACTTCCCTTTCCAGTTTGGCTCAGCTGTGTCTCTATAGAAGCACGTCTTTGCTTTATTCACAAAATACCCAAAGGATATAAATATATATTTGCAACATAGTATCTAAGGAACAATAATTCCAGTTTGACATTTCTCTCAAAACTTTGAAGATAGCATCCTATTGTCTTTGTTATTGTTGCTGTAAAGAAGTTTGTTTTCATTATTTTGTAGGTTACCAATTTTTTTCTTTTTCCTGGCTTAACTTGTCTACTTTTTCCCTCTTTTTTTAGGTACTGTAGTTTCACTAGACTATCTCTGCATAAAGACTTGTTTTAATCATCCTGCTTGAACTAATTTGTTTTCTTAATCCAAGACTTGCATCAAATCTGAAAAATTCTTAGCATTATCCCCTCAAGTAGCCCCTTCCCCAGTTCTTTCATTGATTCCCTTTGATCCCCTTGGAAAAGACAGAATTAGTCTTTTCACTCTGTATTGCATATTTTTTTATCTTCTGTTTCAGATCTTTTTTTTTGGTCTCTTATTCTGTATTTTGGGTAACTTCATTTTGTGAATTCCCTATAGAGTTTTTAAAACATTCACTGAGCTTTAAGTTCAATAATTATATTTTAAAATATAGACATCCTTGTTTGTTCTTATTCAGATATTTATGGTTAATTTTTATTCCAATGTATGAATCTTCTAATGTGAAATATTTCATACCTACAGAAATGTCCATGGAACCATATGAATCTTGACCCATACCTCATGTTGCATAATAATATCTATTCCAGATGGGTCGCAGACAAAAATATGAAAAGTAAGAGAATAAACCTTTTAGAAGAAAACAAGAGAATATCAAATAACCTTATAGTACGCAAAATTTCCTTGAACAGCACACAAAATTCTCTTCTTAATAGTCAACTAATTGGATGACATTAAAATTAGAACAACTGTCTAGTCAGAGTGGGAGAAGATTGCATAATGAACTACTGCAAATCACTAGAAAAGGATGCAGGACAATAGAAAACACTAACGAGCATTTCTCTAAAGAGGATACCCAAATGATCTATAAAGATGTACTCAACTTTGTCATTCCTCGGGAAGATATGTATGCATGTATTTTCTTTTTAAATAAGGATTTTATTTCTAGGTAGGATTGAGTAGTTCATTGCAAGTCAATGCTACCATGAAAATTACTAGAAAAGATAGATAAATCAAAGAATTCTTATTTTGGAAGACATCAGAAAGCTATGGAAAAATGGAGGACAAGAAATTAAAATTTCAGTGAGGGAAAAATCTTTCAGAATTAGGCTAAAAATTGGCACCTGCCTTTTAGTAGAAGAAATGACCAATTTCATATGCAGGCAGGAGGCTGAACATCTGGGTGGGTCCTAGGCAGGAAGCAAAACTGGAACAGAAAGAAATCAGCAGTGCTTTACGTA